AATGTTCGATGTCCTTGAAAATCTCTTGGTAACCATGACAGAGAGGAAGGAATGAGGGTAGAAGGTGATAAAAACTATTTCTTAGTGTCTGAGATAGACTAAGGCAATTGCTTTTTATGAAACATATCTTTCCTATCTCTATTGTATGTGAATACTATGACATATATTCGCTGAATATTCTTGACTGAAATATAAAAATATAGTCATAAATTATATAGCACTTTACAGATCAATAAATTTAAGAGCAAAATCAGTCAAATTTACTGTATGCTGATACTTCTTTCTTTTAAATTGTGAACTATTTCAAACATACTCAGAAATCAAAAAGACAATGTACTGAATTGTCTTGTACTGATTACAGATATTCAAGAGCTAACAACTTGACATATTTTTTATTCCAAATACTTACACTCTCTTCAACTTTTCTGATGGTGTGACTTGTTATCATAATAACTACTTGAATATGACTTGATTAAATCACATTTGGTGAATCAAAACAAATGGCATGCTTCCTGGAGGAATAAATTCACTAAGGCATTATCTGCAAAGCAATTGTGATTCATTAAGGTCTTGAGACTCTAATTTATTTCATTGATTTTAAAGAACAAAATATTCATATTATAGTCCCATTTAACAAATGGGTTCCTTCGTTATTCTGTGTATCTATTGCACAGTAACAATTATGATGTGTTTCTACCTCCAACTGATTACCTACATTTGGTTTTGGCTACCTTAAAATTTGAAGATTTCTATAGATATTCATTTATATTCATTCATTCTTTTCAATATGCATGAATTCACTCTGAAATTTTTAGACTACATCTTTATCTACAGATTAAGTCATCTCTTATGTACAATCTGTGAGAGTGATAGGTGGATTTTGTCAAATACAATAGATTTCATCTTTTTTTTTACAGTATTAAAAATCTTAATTGAAAGGCCTAGAATGGAAATACACGTAATTAATTATGGATTAGCCCTGTGTGCCAAAATATGCTTAAGTCCTCTACTATTCCTTCATTACTAGCTCATCTATATTCTGAGATTGAACAATAAAAGATGTTAAAAAATAAGCAACTAGTTACTGAAAGGTCACAAACAGTAAATAACTTGCTATGATTCAAATGAGTATAGGATTTTACTAAATGTTTCATCGCTTGATTTTTAAGAACAGCAAAGTCTACTGAATGATTTCCAGTGGGGTCAATAAAGCACAGACAAATCATTACTGATTACCTTAAGATAACACCAAATTTAGAATTTTGGATGAATACTGAACATTTTTGTAACCAGAAATTTTACTCTATTTCTCTATATGGACTAATTTCCTCATTTGGAACCTATTTGAAGTGAGTGGTTACTACTAGATAAAAAAACAGGTTTATTATTTTCCACCCATTGCTAGCTATGCCAATGTCATATACAATAATATTAATTCCTTTTCATTACATTTTGCATTAACATATGAAGTGATGGATTTTACTATAGTATTTTCGTGTGTGTACTTGTGTGTATGATTACAACTGCTTTAGAATATAAATTCCTACTTCTCTGAGTTGATAAGACTATAATTACTTACTGTAGAATGATAGCTCCCAAACTTTGTTGAGCCTTGTCAAGGGACATATGAGGAATATTTTTCCAAAGTTCTACCTGTACCTTTGCTCCCTAAGGCCTGGGACACAAATTGAAAGAAGTCACCAGTTAGGTCTAAATCCAAGTCTCTGCTATTGATCTACCTGCAAGAAGAGAATCACAGACTCAGATGGTATCTACAAGAGTTATAATTAAAGCCAACCTGCTATGAAATCAAAAGGGGACCACTGAGGGAAATACATGGGGACACTAAGAAGCTCTAGGACTTCTAGCGTTTCTTCAGCATCTAGAGAATTGTGCATGAACTAGCACAATGCTTAAGCAAAGGTTGTAGCTCTGTGGTGAAACACTTGCCTGGAAAATAGAAGACCCTGGCTTTAATATCAAATATGGCAAAACCCAAACAAAAGTACATTGCTTTTTTGAAAAGCTAATACATTTTGAGGTGTAAAGATAGAAGTAGCAACAATCTAGTAGTAATTATACCTAGCCTTCAAAAACTGGTTTCATTCCTCTAATCTAGTTCAGTCTATTACAAAGAATTTGGGCTTTTAAAAAAAATGGGTAATTCTCAGTGCAAGGCAGTATATATACAAAATAAGTCTGGAGCATCTTTCAATAATGTAAAAAAAAAATGAAAAAAACTACCCAGCAATGATGGCCTTATATCCAAAGAACACACGAGCCAATTGAAAGAGCTCCCATTTCCAAATGTAAGAGATTTCAACAAAGGGAAAAAATGTAATTGTGTTGCATAATATAAATATCCATGGGTCCATACTGGTGAAAACCCATTTGACTGAATAGATAAATTGGAGAGGAGAGATAAATCTGCTAAGATAAATTGTAATTCATGCAAATATTCTGTCTTGAAGAAGAAGATAGAATATTTGCATGAATTACAAACGTGAATAATGACTTTCTTCCAAAGGTTACAGTAAGAAGCTTCGGTGATGGCATATGCCTATAATCCCAGCATTTGCAAGGCTGAGGCAGAAATTCTACAGGTTCAAGGTCAGCCTAACATGTACAGCTAGTCATCACCAATAGTCATGCCATGTTGACCATTTGTGACCTTGAAATGATGATGAGGATGGTATTTTATGTCTGTAGTCATCCTTTCCAAAAATTTTTAGCCCAGTTTACTATGAGAAAATATTAGCTAAATCTCAATGGGGGCACTCTAAAGAGTTTATTTTAAATTTTCAAACTTATCAAAAAACAAGATAACTCTGAGGGACTGCCATAGCCAAAAAATCTTTAAAAGACATGCCAACCAATCTAGGCATAGTGGTTATGTGCCTTTAACCCCAGCACTCAGGATGTAGAGGCAGGTTGATCGTTGTGAGTTCAAAGCCTGCCTGGTTTAAGTAGTAAGTTCCAAGACAGCCAGAGCTACATAGTGAGATCATATCTCAAAAGGCCAAATTAAACAAAAGAGAGAAAGAAATATAAAAACTAAATAGAATGCAATATCTGGATGATATCCTGAAACAGAAAAAAAAAGGAGCTAGAAAGAAAAAATGAGGAAATAGTGAGTATGATTTCTAGTTTATAGTAATGTGTCATTGTTACATAGTTTGACTAGTTCAATGATTGTAATAAATATATCACAGTAATGGGGGTGAAGATTATATAAATACCATGATACATTTGTAATCATTCTTTTAATCTAAAGTTTATCTGAATTTATTTTAAAACAACTAGATTTGAATTATAGTGCCCCCTCCATTAGGACAAATGTCTACGAAGTATGTTCTCGTCAATAAAAAATGATTAAGTTGTGGTCTTATAGAATAGTATGTAGCACTTAACATTATATACCTACAAGGAAACAGTGGATTTTGAACTATTTATTTTAAAATTTTAATGTATAGACCTCATTTTGCTAAAAAAAGAAACATTAACAGGAATAGCTCTATTAAATACACTTACGTAATTAAGACCTGTGAAACATATGTGATGCATATAATAAACCGTTAACTTTGCTAAGAGTATGAGTCTAAAGGGAAAGGAAGGAAGGACGATCGGGAACAAATTATGGCAGAGGCAGTAAGCAATAACTAGTTCATTAATTCAGTCTAGAACCTTTGGATAGTAAGATAGAGGTTTGCAAAGAAACTCTAAATTTATACAAACAGAATACAAAAGCAAATAACATATTGGGGGAAAAAAGTACTTTTGGTTGGCAGGCTTTAGTGGTGGTAAGGATTAATAAGGGGCCATCAGGCAAAGAGTAGTGACATTCTGGAAATTACAATGTCAGTTTTTAAAAGTGTCTGATACCTATTTCTCAGTTTTGTCAAGAGCTACACAAATAGAATCTATTGCCTATCAGTACTGTTTCTGCTGCCATGACCATGGGGATTCTTCTTGCCTTCAAAAGAAACTAACCTCTCCATTTGTTCCTCTCAGTACTGCCCTGCACGTGTGCACAGAAGTGACTCGAAGGCTTCAGGAGCTTTCTCTATTTAGACACTACTTTGTTCTCTTGGCCTTTAGAACAATGAGGACTCACCAGGGAGCTCTGAGAGCTTTTGATGAAGAAGTGACATAGCTTTACACAGGAGACAAAAATAGGAAGGGTTTGTATTTCCAAGAAGTTAAAATCAAATAGTAGAGTGCAGGTCCCCGGTGAATAAGACCAGTGATTCTCAAAATGGCAGAATTGAAAGGTGAGTTAAAGGTCATCTCAGCTCTCTACTTTAATACCTAATGCAGTCTCTGTCTGCCATGTTAGACCCCAGGTCTTAATGCTGGGCTGCAGGGAGATCATAGTGTGGAGTTCCTAAGACAAGGTAATGTGCTTCTCATTGTAAATATCTGACAAGAATTAGATCTGTTAAATCATCAGCATACAGCACTCAGAACGTCACGATGACCAAGTGTTTAGTGCACTTCCTGCTGAACATTTAGACAGAGTAGAGTGAAGTTCATTTTGCAAATTTTATGGATAGTACCAGTTGCTCATTTGCTGTGAGGTCTCTAGGCAGCATTTGAAGCTAATTTCCATCAACAAGAGGGGCAGCCAGACCTTGGCCTAAATGATATATGGAGGTCAGGTTCAGAGCCAGGCACCAAGATCACTGAGTCAGTTGGCTCTGTGGTGAAATAATTCTTACTATAAGACCCGGGAGCAGGGATGGGTGAAGGCCGGAAAGAAATGAGTCACGCGATGTTCTAAATTAAGGAAAGACACGCAGTAAGTAAGCAGGAGTCCTGAGTTATGAGAATCTGATAAGAAGTTGGTATGTAGTTCCAATAGATCATTGGAACCGAGTTTACTGGAGGTCTTCAGCTGCTGCTAGGTAACATGAGTTATACCAGCAAACACTCCAATATAACACTCCAAAACAAAAGACTGCAAGGCGCATGGTTGCCCAATATTTTCAAATGACACTTACCTTAAAACGCAAGTGTAGAATCCGCTGTCTTGTGCCTCAGCTGAGTGAAACCATATGGAGTCTTCCTCTTTGCTCATTCTGACCTCTGAAAAGATGATAGGTTCTTCCAGATCGCCTTTGTTTTTGTACCACATGAGCCTGAGCCCAGTACTCTGGGCCATGCTATAGTTGGTGCGAATATAACTGTAGAAAAGGGCACATTTCACTCTGACAGGTTCGCCTGCCAAAGCCATGTATGTCTTGAGATCCACTGACCAGTCAATGCAGCCGTCCACTGAAAGAAAACAAGACAAGACATGAGATGCAGGGAACGTCATTCATAATAACAGCGAGAGAAGTAATCGCTGCCATCATGCACAGGGCACATCTGTGAGTCAGAGCTTTATTGAGACGACTTTAGCCAATCCTCCCAGAGGCTATATTCGAATCCCTAGCATTTTACTCAGACATTAGCAAGCAGAGCTGCTGCACTAAGTCTGTGTCCTTAGGTATTTCCCTATCATCCCCAGCAACTTTTAGGTAGAGATTTGCTAGGTAAGCTCCTCCCCAAGGCTCTCTAGCAAGTCACACATGCCTATATGGTAGCCTCAGAGCTTCCCAGCCATGGCCTCCAGGTTCTCCCTCCAGTCGTCTGGCCTGCTAAGTAAATCGTTCCTATTAACCGGCAAAGTTTTCCTCTATGAGATCATATAAACCTAGACTGTAGCATGCTGCTGACATGGCAGTTTCAGATTTCAGATAATTCTGACTGATTTTTTTTTTGGCAGAAATTTTATAAAACAAGTATGTCTAAGAGATCCCTGCCCTGACCAGGCCCAGTCCTGGAATTAACATTTGTATGCATACTTTCCAGATGATAACACTGAGATTAAGAAGACTTACCCAAGGACACAGAGCTAATAAGTGGTAGGAAACCAGTCTCTGATCGGAGACTCTATATATTCTTAACCCCTACTTTGTACTATCTATACCTATAATTGTGACAATAGTCACTATGTTATTTACTTGCTGTTGAGAAAATAATGCTGAGGTTGGAATGGGAACTTAAAGTGATTACATGCTATTATATGAAATATATACATGACATATACATAAAATGGTATATATGTATATATGCATATATATGTATATATGTCATTTTCCATGGTATGACTTATTAAAATCAGATATTTAAACATAGGTTGCTTTCTTTTTATACCCTTAGTCCTCTCTTGTTGCTCAGGTGTTAATTGCTCATGGGGATTTATTATATTAATATCAGCTTTAATCAGATAATTATGAGTGGATAAAACTAACATTAAAGAAATACAGATAGAGTAAAACTCCTTTTCCAGAAACATTAGCAATAGATGCGAAAGATAATTTAGTATGTTATTCAATACAACTAGCACAGATATTATACTTCTGAATGCCTATTGTTTCTCAAAAACTCCATCAAATGATTCTGTGTCCTTTTATATTTCCTGATTATCCTTTATAAAGCATATTATAAAAATGTGTAAATATTTCCATTCTAAAATGATGTTTTGCTTATAATTCTGTAAGCTGGTCTGTTTCCTTTTTCAGATGTTGAGAACTCTGTAACCCGGTGTGTTTAATCCTTTAACCTCAGTTGACAGGAAGCTTAGAGCTAAATGTAATGCTCAAATATAATAACTATCATACTTCAAAGTTTCACTTTCTCTATATGAAGGGTTATTGAACTAGGGTTCAAGGGCACTCAAGGGAAAGGTGCTCTAATAGGCTTTAGATTGTTGGCAAAATAATGTGCCTATTCACATAGGCATACTTTTCTGGGGAGATTTTATACTACACTTCATTAGATTGTCAGAGGAGTCTATAGCCTAAGAACTCCATGGTTTCTTTTTCATAATTGTTGTGTGGTTTAGGAGGGCAAACCCATAGCCTTGTGCAAGTTAAGCAAATATTCTGCTACTGAGTTACAACCTAAGCATGACTTCTAATCTTTTTCCAATGACATTTTTCACTACTCTGCTTCATATGGGCTTTTATGATGAACTCCTTGAGTAGTATGTGAAGTAGCAGAACAGTAATTGGTTTTGGATTAATGAATTTGACTTAGCAAAATTATCTCAAAGTAGGTACTGTCCTGATAGGAAAAAGTTTGCTTTTTCATTTTCTTCCTTAACTCCTCCAGGTTCCTCCTTTAATCTGTCTGTTATGTAACTAGATCATTGCAAGTTCAAGCTACATTTCCAATCTTAACAGACTAGTTTTGCCTATAAACTATGGGGTATGGTTGATATTGAAGGTAATAAAAATGTTTGCTCTTGAGTCACAACATCCATGCCCAAGCTCAGTTTGAGACATTTAACTGCCATTAGAATTAGCTTTCTCACATAGGCCTTGAAAGCATACTGAGAATTCATTTCTTGTTGAGTACGATCTGAACCACATGCATTTGATTTAATAGATGTATGATCCTGTTGCTTCTTCTTCCCTTGTTTTGGGCAGCAGACAGTTAGTATTTATAAATGACAGAGTCAACAGTCAGAAAACAAAAATTCAGCAACTAGGGGAAAATACAATTTCTAAATATCATCCTTTTAGTTTTTTCTACTTTCAATATTCGTAATACATGAGTGCACAATGACCTATTTTGGGAGGCCTGAAGGAGATTTCCCACAAGATAGACAAGGAATATGAAGGCCCACCTGAGACCATTTTTTTTTCACCACAAACACACTAGGAGAAAACAAATTAAGGTGTTGTAGCTTTATATCTAAAGATTATTACACCACTAGTGGATTCTAAAAAGGTGGTTTGATTTGTTCTTATTGAATTTCCATTCTTAGCTGCTTACCTGCTGGAAAAGAATGGGTGGCATAGGATAAAGTTCATTTATTTTAGATTTGGTACTAGTGAAAGCAACTAAAGACTATAGAATGGAGTCCAAGGTCTATACAGTCAGGTGGAATGCTAGTATTAAGGGACCAACATCTTGGTGAGGTAGGAAGCACAGTGTGATGTCGGAGGATCACAAAAATGGAACAATGGGTAAAAGGTCACACATGACTTAATTTTCAAGTGCCATCAGGAGCTACAGGTTTACGTTACATTGTTGCCACAAAGAGATGGCAATTAAACCTCCAGAAGTGTTTGCATGCTGATCAGACATGCATGTTTGGCATACAGCTGAAGAGCTGCCTCTGTGGTGCAGCAGGCAAAGGTGGAAGCCATAGGCATGAAGGTGGCGTGGAGGACCTGAGTAGTTCACAGAGGAGGCTACCCTGCGAGCCTGACCTCATCCACGCAGCATCCGGCCCACAGAACCATCCAGACCTATTCTATTCACAATTCCAGTGGCAGCTCTGTAAGCAGAGGCCCCCCACAGGGTTTCAGTGAAAAGTGTTTTCCATATAGACAGGATTCTCTCACAAGTGATCCCATAATGGGGTCTCTCTGATTCATTACAAGTGTGAACAGGCACACCACAGGCAGGGAAAAACTGCTTTCCCCCAAAGGTTGAAATTCTGCAGTTGGTGAACTGTATTACAGAAAAATACCTGAAAATATAAAAGGGGGTCTCCTTAGTGTCTCATCACTACCACCTTGATTCCGATCTCTAAAAGATTCACAAATTATTGCTCTTGATTTAGTCTTCTTGGCAGAAAACACTTTAATAGTTAAGCTTTCCAAAAACAATTACAATGGAACAAAGAAAGCCACTAAAAAAATTTCAGAGCTGTATTTTAATCATTTTTATTCCAATCTTTAAAAACAGGAAAACGGCTATGTAATTGAGGATCTTGGCATGAAGATTCAAAACAGGGGGCAAGCAGACTGTATACATGGGCACTGTGACTTCCAGGCAGTGTGTTTTGTCACTCCTATGAGTGAAAACAAGAAAAATCGCTAGCAATATACCCTGGGTGACACCAGCAAAACCGTTTGGCCTCTTTATAACTAAGTTTCTCACTGCCATATCTACCTTCCTTAAAAACATGGCATGGTGGGAAATGTATGAATCCTTGTAAGAGGATATGATGCCAACATTAATAACTATCAATACAATTATGAAGGGGGGAAGAATACAGAGTGTGCTTAAATTAGACTCCAGCGGCCATGTGCATTGCAATTCTTTTATAGCTGTGGTGCGAAAATGGATATACAGCTGCACATATAATTGCCAATTCTGTATTTTTACCTCAAATTTGGAATTTGCCTCAAAATTCCCATTAAATAAAATGCTTCGTTGGTCCATGAGAAACTACGGAAACTCCAGAACCTTGGATAACTAGCTTTGGTGCAAACTATAGTTCCTAGCCTCCTGGTAACTCACTGTGTATGTTTAATACATACATTTTTAACCTGATTTTTTGAAAAGAGATATCAATTAACTCTATTCTCTTTATTTTTATCATCAGCCCTTGCTCTTTGTTCAAGAGGGTAGTAATTAGGCGCAATTCCATAAATTTCCACTAGAGGGAGAGCTGCCCAAGTCTTTGTGCAGCACTGAAGTTCTCCCTGCCTACTTTCTCGAACTAAGGATTTGCTAAGAGGTCCAGCACTGTGCACTGGTTGTTGGGGAAGAATCACAGCACAGCTATGAGGATGCACGGCACAGCTATGAGGATGCACAGCACAGTTATGAGGATTTGCTAAGAGGTCCAGCACTGTGCACTGGTTGTTGGGGGAAGAATCACAGCACAGCTATGAGGATGCACAGCTGTGATGATAGTGGTAGCCAAAACTTAGGGATGCCGCAGAAGTTTTACTCAAAAGGGAGAAAGGAGAGTACACACAGATCAAGTGAGGAGAGGTGGAAACACGGGGATAAGGGCAAGAGAAGTCAATCCAGCTCTTAACCTTAGAATAAGTAAACACTACACTAGACGTTTATATGTTTTTCAAAGTCGTTTCTTGTGGTTTTCGTTTTGATTTTTGTTTTTTTTTTCTTCTCTGATTTTATTCTCATGTCCACTCAAGAAAAAAAAAAGAATTGAATATTCCCATTCTACTAATAAGAAAGCAAAAAGCTCAGAGAATTTAAAGTAACTGTTCAAGGTCACACAAGGTGAAATGATAGTAGACACCACCTCCAAAATGCCCCCACCCTGAATGTTATAAAGTAGACTCCAGAGCTTTGGCTCTGAAAGTCTGTGTTTCATACTCTTTCATTTATACTCTTCCTCCTTGTAGCTCACAAATCCAGTAGAAAATTAAATTCTGCTTGACAGCATCTAAATTATCAAGTGTATGCCCCAGAGTCCATGCCTGTCCAGTAGAGTAGACCTTTAAAGCTGAGTCACAGTCTATGCCTGCATAAACACTACATGAATAACAGCCATCAAGT